CGTCCCAGCACGACCGTCGCACATTGATGCCTATCCTGCATTCAACAAATATACACATAGGAGAGAGGGGCCACTCACCTGCTCTAGCCGTAGGCTCATCCTCCAACTCGTCTCTGTCTGCCACGGAATGGACATTTTGTGGGCTACACGCTTGAGCGACGTCCATAGGGAGAGTTGCCTTGTGCAGGGGCGAGTGGGTAGGACACAGTCTGACCCCCTTGACTTGGATTAGCTATTATAGCTGTTCCTAAAGGCTGTGAGCATCAGCTATGTTATTCAACATCATGCGCTCAGAAGGCCATCCTATCGAACCTTATCACTGAACCCAATAGCACATGACCTTTAGTGCATCTGAGGCTGGACGAGCTTTAAGTAAAATCAAAGCCATGCACTCAATCCGCCGTCATCAAAGATTGTCGGAACCATACAGAGCTCGAGAAGCAGGAGGAGTGATCCATACAGCTCACGATGGACCACGATCAATGATGCTACGTGCATAGGACACGCCTCAGTGCGTATCCAGCCGAATGCGTCTATTCCCATATGTACTAAGCCCAGCCTGGCGTCGGCTGCTCCAGTGCGGTGCGTCCCTATTAATCGTCCGGCGCAATTCGTTATGATAATCGATTTCTATGTGTCACAGCTTAAAGGGCACTGAGGGTATTTACTTCGCTATGCCAGCACGGGAGCGCGGATTACCTCCCCATGGAAATGCTTTGCCAACCTAGAGACAAATCAGCGCACGGAGCTATCCTCCCGCACCAGAATAATCCGATGCTGGCTAGGTAGACAAAGATATCTCGCCAAGCTCGTGGCGCATACAGTGCACAGGTGAGACGTCTGCACAAGACTTGTCTGGTGCGGCTGCAAACGTACGCATGCACGCAAGCACGTGCATGTGAAGCTCACCTGTGCATTCAGGATTTCGAGGCTTGTGAGTGTGATGCATCTAGCTGGATGTACCATCTGTGGCGACCGTCCGTCGCGAGCCACATGGACGTCTACCTCATGTCCTCGAGCTCTAAGTATGTGGTCTAGACCATTACTCAGCGACGGCGGGATTGTGGCGCACAAACTAGTCTCGCCTGCACGCCAACCTGCACGCCGACTCGTCCTGTCCTTTCTTGTATGCACTTCGGAACAAGTTTTGATAGAAAGGCTTTCTGCATGTATGGGTTTTGATCCAGTCTGACCCCGTCAATCAAGAGTCTGTCAAGGAGCATGGGAGGGAACGGATTTGTCATCCTGGACATACTAACTCGGAACCTCTTTGAATCCGAGTTAACACAGCTAATATGATTGCGTCCCTCATGCTCTGTGAACGGTTTTAGCTCCAGGGTTTATGTGACCTCGACCCTCTGCTGACCCGTCCATCTGACGGCAATCGAACAGGCCAACCTTTGATCAATCAAGTATCGACTTGACTCTCTTGATGGAGCCAAGGTTCCTGTGGCAACATCGCACAGCTGTATCACATAGCTGTGACGGCTGCGACGCCCACGGCTTATTGAATAGCTCGATGTACCGCAGGCGGTGAATCTTGACCCGACGTCAAGCTGCAGAAAGGTGAGAGGAGTAGGAGAGAAAAATTCATGCGAGTACGGAAGGAGCCGGAAGTTGTGGGAGATGTGATGGGTTGTACAGGCATTTGGTTGCGGGAACAGAATGTAGCCTACCACAATCGAAGCTCAGGGACTTGAGCCCTCACAGAAGTCCTAGAATGAAGGCAACAGTCATTTGATGTGATACAGAAATGTAGATACAGTCCACGATGGGAAAGACGACTTACAGAAGGCGACCACTAGCATGGAGGGCTGGAAGCTTTGACGAAAGCAGGGTGCGCCAGTAGCCTTCGGATATGACTTCCGGCGGGTGAGAAAACCGGATACCGTAACGAAGGAGAAAAGCGACATTGCGGAGAGCAGGAAACTGACGGTCGGAGAGGATGCGGTCCATCTTTGCAAAAGAGTCGATGCTGTTCAATCTATCCTGGACAGAGACAAGTGTCGCCCCATCGAGTGGCTCCAAATTCATGGTGACCCCGACTAGGTTGGGCAAAGATGCGCGAGACAGTAAACTGGTTGCCTCAGTGATGTCTTCGAGATGGCTATCGAGGGCCAAAACACGCAAGTTGACAGCGGGCGTCAGATCCATTGAAGGGGCTGAGGGAACATCGTCAGCAGATACTGGATGACGTCATCTCCGCCACATACCTCTGCAAAGTAGCCATATCTTGAGGGACAAGAGCGATTTGGCAGTTACAGGGAGCAGGTCCGACAGCTTCTGCAGGTCGTTTTCATAGCACGTGAGATGGCGAAGGTGAACGTCGATCGACGCAAGGAAGTCAAACACGTCATCGCTGCTGTACAGACGGGCGGCGTCGAGTCGGAGGGAGCCTGGCACTCGCACCCCACGGCAGCTCGCTCGTCTTGAAGTGCACTTTCCAGCACTTGAGGGAGGAGAGGCGAGGGAGCACACGTACAAGCCGTCCAAACACAATCGCAGACGGGAAGGTCACACCCAAGAGTTGGAGCTTGGTTATCGACCCAAATGTGAGAGTGATATGGAGGAAAACCTGGGCATGCAGTTGCCCACTCTCCCATCGACAATCCCAGAGTCTGAGAAACTCGACTCGGGGCAGCTTCTGCACCATGCGCACAGCAAATGACCGAAAGGGGCCAATCGACCGGTCTCCAATACCGATCCAGACTGTTTTGATCGCACTGCATCGGTCGGGGTGCTCGACCAGTGAATTTATCAGTCGATACACCTCCTTCGTGCGCATGTACGACATGTGAAGGCTTTCATAGCTGCGAAAGTGACATCGGGTATACCACCCACGACACACTTGGCCAAGTCGTCGCATGTGATAGATGTGGTCGTCCGCAATGAAATCGATTATCTGCTCCCATCATTCTATCGGAAGTTGGCTTGAAACCAGGGGGCAGATGTCCCATAGTTAGCTAACCGTCCGCTCGGCGATGGATACGTCCCAGTACGACCATCGCACGTTCTGCTCTGCACTCCACTCAACAAACCTACATGCAGCAGAGGGGGGTTACTCACCTGCTCCAACTGTAGCAATGTCTTCCAACTCGTCTCTGTCTGTCACGGAATGGATATCTTCTGGGCTACACGCTATAGCGACGTCCATAGGGAGAGTTTCCATGACTGGGAAGTGGGTGGACAAGATGTACAACCTCACTCCCTCGACCCAGATAAGCTGTTATAGCCGTCCTTGCAGGCTGTGCGCTCACAGACCCTACAGCTTTGTGGTTCAACACCGCGTGTTGGGACGGCATGCACATCGGACTTTATCATATTAAACCTAATTCCATGCCATGATTAATCCATGCACTCACATGACCATGTGCACAGTAAATGACCCAAAGCTGCCAATCGGCTATTTACACTGCTGAAAATGACGGTCTTCGTGTTACGGTATCGGTCGGGTCCTCGACCAGTGTATTGATCAGGAGATACACCTGCTTCCTGTCCATATTCTACACAAGGTGTCTCTCATGGCTACGAAAGCGACATCGGAAATACCACCCACGACACACTTGCCCAAGTCGTCCCAAGTCGTACAATCTGTGGTCCGCGACGAAATCAATTATTCACTCCCATAATTCTGTCAGAAGTCGGCTCGAAACTATGGGGCAGATATCGACGAGTTGGCTAAACGTCCATTCGACAATGGAAGCGTCACAGCACGACGATCGCGCGTTGTAGCCCATCCTAAATCCAAGAAATCTATCCGTAGCAGAGCGGGGCCACTCACCTGCTCCAAGTTTAGTAATATCCTCCAGCCCGTCTCTGTCTTCCACAGAATAGGAACCCTGTGGATTACACGCTAGAGCGACGTCCATGGGGTGGCTGGGTAAAATACACAGTCTGACCTCCTCGACCTGGATTAGCTATTACACCCATTCCTATAGGCTGAGGGCGTCAGCTATGTGATTCAGCGTTCAGCACCATGCGCTCAGAATGCCTCCCATTGAACCTTATCATATCAAATCTAATAGTAAATGACATCCGAGCAAGCAAGGACTAGACACTGGACAGGGCCCAAGTGAGTTCGCGCGCCATAATTCCGCCATCATTGGGCATTGTTTGAACCGTACAGAGCTCAAAGACGCGGGGGAGACGCCCATGCAGCTCGTGGTGGACTGCGATCAACGATGGTACGTGTGTAGCACGCGCCTCAGTAGGTATCTGACCAAATGGGTGTATGCATGTAAAGGACCGCCACGCGCCGGCTGCTTCTAGCGCGATGGTTGCTGTAGTAATAGTAGACAAATACTCACCTCACTGCAGATCCTCAGCCGCACTGACGACCATGGTAGTATCGACTGCGCTTACTACCGCTTCCTTCTGACAGCCGTAGACTGATTCGTGCTGCACAGAATCTTCGCCCTGACAAGTCAAACTAGCCAAAGCGGCGTTTTCCAGCTCTGCAAGAGATACGTTGACAGTGACGCTGTGTTTAGCCTACACCGAGGCGGCCACGCCCAGCGCGGACACTACCAAGGACACTCTCATCCGGCCCCTTGTCCACCTCGCACATGATCCATGAACACGAGACACTCGAAGGCGTCACTACTGCAGTGCGTATCGAGTGGAGAGGCGACAGGAAGACGAGTTCTGTGGGAATGCTGCTGGGTGGCCGGGGTGTAGGGAGTGAAGCAGTGTGCGCAGTCCCAGCCGCAGGCAAATCAAAGGAGGTACATCCTTGGTCTAGACGCATATAGCTAGGAACGAGTGAGACAGATACGTAACGAGGAGTCAAAGAGTCACACAAGTGTCTCAATTTCAGCAACGACAGCAATTGTGTCGGTAATGGCAGCAGCGATGTCGATGACCTCTAGGAGAGCGGCGGATGAGCAGGTATGGAGCCTGCCGAACACGATGTCAAAAAGTCCAAGGTCGATAACCTCCCGGCGGGGTACTCTGCGCGCGGGCGAAGAGCCATGTGGTTGCGCCAGTCAGAGCGATGGTGATGGAGAGATGAATGGAGGAACGAGGGGGAAACGAAGAACAAGAAGGCTCAGATGACAAAGATATCGACCTCCTTCGGAATCCTTAGCACCACCAACATTTATGTAAACCACGTCCGCTGCTATTTCCCCTGAAATCCGAGAGTCTAGGATCAAAGCAAGATCCGCGAGGAAGAAACACATAACGACCAGAAAACATTCGCAGTATATCTCTTGGAGAAGTGTCAGCTGGAGCTCATCATTGCGATCAATCCAGCGCCTGACAACTTGCGTGTTTTGTTGACAAAATGCACCAGTGCCAGTGGAAGAGTATGTGGCCTGCGTGAAGAAATTGCCATCTACAAAAGAAGAGACCGAGAAAAGACAATGCAGAGACTTGTGTGATAGCAGAGAGCGATGCGAGAAGACAAGAGAGGACCTAGTTGGGGACTGTGCTAGTTAGTATAAAGTACTAATTCCACTAATTAGCAACATTTATGACTAAGTAGTTCTAATTAGTGCAGTGCAGTTTTCCTGATGCGGTATTGAACCACAAAGCTGCTGTGGGGGCTGAGCGCACAGCCTGCAAGGACGGCTATGACAGCTTATCTGGGTCGAGGGAGTGAGGTTGTACATCTTGTCCACCCACTTCCCAGTCATG